AACACATATACATATATATATACACACATATATATATATATATATATATATATATATAAAGCAAAAAAGTCAAGAGAAATTTATTTGTATAGTGCTTTTTTCACAATTCATGCAGTTTCAAAGCAGCTGTACAAGAAGTCATGCTGTTATGTTTATAATGCCTTTGTGCTTTACCATAGAGCAAGTTTTTGGGCTGGGTGATATGATGATATAAAACAACGATTTAAGTGATCCTCCAGATCTAGATCTAGCTATATTATATTTATAATGTTATCTAGCACACATACCAGTGTCGCAGTGATTTGGGTATGGCTAAATGTTCAAAGGCAATTAAGAGATTTAAATGTTTTCTGTTTTGCTCTATAAAAAGATTTAAATGTTTTTGGTTTTGTTCTCTTAAGAGATTTAAAGTGCCCCTATTATGGGTAATGAAAGGTTCATATTTTGGTTTTGGGAGTCCCCAACAACAGGTTGACATGCATGCAAGGTCAAAAAACACTTTCATTATCTTATAATATGCATTTATTTTTTACCTTATTTGCTCAACAACTCCCAAACGATTCGCTCAAAGATTCATTTTTCCAAACCCCTACTTTGCGTGACGCTAATCTGCGGTGACTGGTCCGATTGGTCTCATTTTCATTTCATCATGTGATGCCTGATAAAGCAGGTTTGTGAGCACAGTGCTGCTTTGTGTACTGCGTTACCGGGGAAACAGCTATTTTTACTGCTCTAAAAGCGCACCTAGTGGCAAAGAATGAATCTGCATTTTCATTCAGACCAACTGAAAAGACCAACAAGTGGGCGGGCAATATGCTAATGTTTCATGTTGATGTCAACATAAAATGGCTTGGGATTCGTTTTAAAAACGACTCGTTTCAATGTTTCAGAGTAGACTCTTTCTTTTGAGAGAGAATAACTTTATACACGGTGCACTTTCAGATTTAAAACTTTGCAGGACGTTTTCATTCACTTAGAGCTGTGTTACACACTGCATGAAACGTCATTTTCAAGGGAACTTTAAATGTTTTTGGTTTTGTTCTATTAAGAGATTTTAACGTTTGTCTTTAATTTCAGTCAGGAGCGTCTCTGATTTCAGGCAGAATTACTGTAACGTGATGGTGTTCTTTACTGTGGTTGAAAATGACTTTTTAGGAATGAAAAAACTCCATTTTGGTGGTAACAGGTCATTTTATGTGATGTATAGAGGCATACATTTAAAATCCTATATAACCATTGATATATACAGGAATACAGTTGTTGTTGTTTTTTTTTACTACTCTGGCCCTGACTCTCAGAAACAGTATGAAGCCAACCTATCAGATTGAGTCTTGCTGTTTTGAGAAAGTATTCCGTGTACAATATGCATCAGATATTTGTGTTGAGAGTGGGATATGACGTTCAAATGTACCTGTTGAGATAGGAGGTGCCAGAGCTTGCGATCTCCTCCTGACCTTGAGTTACATAGAAAAACATGGGCTTATCGGGCTGAGGCCACTGGAAGTCAAAGCCTTTCCTGATGCGATCGGCTGGAGAACAGAACAGAACATCATCATGAACATCATGTGGCTACACAAAAATTTTGTCTCTATGTAACGAAACAAAACTATCTATACTGAACATAATGCAATATCAACTACATAGAACTACATGCAAAAAAATAAATAAACCTGAGATGACATACCGGCGGTGACCCCGTTTTGCAGAGAGCCCTCGTAGAAGATGTTTGACGGGAATGCACTGAGGGCCGGGTGCATGCGGTACTGCACCTGCAGACGGATGGGTCTGATGCCCAGGACCACCAGCCTCTCAAACAGAGACTGAGACAGACCTGCTTTAGCTGCCTTCTTGCACATGACCACAGGACCCAGCTGACAGTGGTCACCCACCAGAATCAGCTGTCAAACAGAGACGACAGTACAGTTACTAAACAGAAAATTTACAATTACATAGACGAGTGTAAACAAAATTTGAAGTACTGTCTTTTCCAGAGCACAAGTCACATTTTTAACATCTAAAAATTGCTGTATATGCTTATAATGAAATGACCTTAATATTCCTTTAATGTGGCAAAGTAGAAAAACACTGTAGTTTAGATATATTTTTACTTGTTTGCAAGTCATAAATGATCTTTGTTTTTCGAATGTAGAAAATGTTGGTCATAAATGTAAGTCAACACAAGGGTGAGTAAACAACGTTTTATCTCATTGGTTGCAGTTTTGATCTCCTTACTTTCAACTTTAATCCAGTTTGTGCTTGTTAGGAAAGTAATGAATGTCAAGTTTATTCATATACATTTACTATAAGCTGGTAATTCGGTTTCGCTTCAAATTCCTTTAGGCTCGGTGTTTATAGTAAATGTTTTTATAAGGAACACCACTACAATGTATGTCTATTTTATACTTATATTTTGCATTCTTGTTTTGTATACAATTAAAAACAATGTTATTTATAGAGATATTAATAGTTTTTATTAATATTCTGAACTAGTTTTTTTCTTTTCTTTTTTCATTGTAGTTAAAGTTTTAGTAATTTTGTTGTTTGTTTTTGTCATTATTATTAGTTTTTTTAAATAGTCAATATTTGAACTCATTATATTAGGGACAAAAACAGCACTCGTGTCATATTGCTCACTGCTCGTGTGATATCGTTTATCATGTGATATAAATATGAGACAGAAACTCATACAGGAGCATTTTTGCCCCAATATCTTGAATTTTAGGGCATAACTGCATTTATGGAGTTGTTGCCCTGCATCATATTTGTCAACAGTATGAAATGTAAGATGACCTACAGGTCTGGGGGCGGGGCCAGTGCATTAACTGCGCTAAAATATTTGAATCGTGTTATTTTTTCATAACTAATTAATTAATTTAACGCATTAAACTGACACTCCTAATAATAATAATATATAATCATTTTTTGTGGAGTGAGTGGAACTAATACACATTTTATTATCAGTAATTTACATTATTTCTGAATGTATAAATAACAACTCTGGCATGCTGCAAAAAAGACAGACACACATCAGTCCTCATAAGATCTCTGCCACGCTGCCAAGCATTTGAATTGAAATAGTCATTGCTGGATTAAGATTTTAAAAAAATCTAAATCTGAGTGACAATAATGGGGATGCCAATCTCAGCACACCATTCAACAGTGAGCTTTAAGAACAGAAATGTCTGCACCTGTCCATGTTGCGGATCTGATTGTGCAGAGCCAGGAAAGACACAGGGGAATCGATGGCCTCACGACTCTTAGCACACAGACGAACCACCTTCAGCCCCGTCTGATGGATCTTCTCTGTCAGCTGATCCACTGCGATGTTACTCGGAGCACAAACCAGCACCGGACTAAACCATCAAACAGACACGAAGAAAAAACTCAGTTGATTTTATAGGGCCATATTTCTCCCAAATTCATTTTTCTCTTTACATCTTCCTAGATTCAGTTTTTTTCCTTTATCATTTTTTTTGTATAAAATTTATTTTGGATCCGTTTTAATGGTAAAATTAAATTTTACAAATCAAAAAGCACATGTAACTATTGAAATCATAACATGCATACAATTTAACAGCAATTTATTAAATTTTCAATAAAAATTTAATTTTTAGGGCCTTACGAAATTAGTTACGAAATAAATTTTCCTCAAATTCTGTTTTTTTAACAAATAAAATTTGTACAATAATAGAAAAAAATGGTCTTTGTTTTTATTTATGATTTAATTCAGACTTCAAACCATTGATAATCACACAAAGGCATAAAACATTAATTTAACTTTAACATAAAACATTAATTGCACAACAGCACTAGGAGGTTTATGGTTTAAATTAAAGCATGCAACAAAAACTGCGATAATCTTAAAAAAAAAAAATGAAGTATTAATTTTATAATATAGGTAATTTTAATGTCATAATTTTTTCAACCTAATTTTTACCAAACATCACTTTATATTTAAATAGTAGTTTTTTTCTGTTTTAATATTCACAGACACTAGTCAATATCACAAGTTAAGTGTACAGCTCTGCTTTTGATTTATTCATTTAAAATTTGCCAAATTCCATGATATTCTGTGTTATACTGGTAATTCCACATTTATGACTGGATTATGCGATTCTGTCTGTGTTTCCACATTGTGGAAATCATAGGAGCCTATTATTACAGAAATTTAAAACCGAAATATGATATGAAATCTTCAATATAGCAGCCAAGTAAATAAATGAACTAACTTTATTTCATGTTGAAATTGTAAAATGCACTGGAAATGGAAGTGGAAACACTGTCATGAGGGAACATGTCTCACCCATTGCCCTGTCTGGCCAGATGGTAGACGATGGTGGCAGAGGTGACAGTCTTGCCGGTTCCTGGAGGCCCCTGGATCAGACTGAGGGGTCGCTGCAGCACCGTCTTCACAGCATAAACCTACATTGTTCCAAAACACCTTGAGTCTCAGAAACCTGAAGAGGAAGGGCTGAATCAGAGGAAGGGGGCTCTCTACCTGCGAGTGGTTGAGGTCTGGCAGGCCTTGCGCAGTGAAGCGTTTGGGCAGCTGGCATTTGATGATAACATCCTCCACCTCGTGACCCAGCAGCTTGTGATAGATGTATCCGGACACAGAGGTCTCGTCCACAGCAAACGTCTTCAGGGCGCTCTGCATGCTACATTATACAAAGAAAATGTTGAACTTTGTGTCCACCAGGTTCACAGATTATTAGACTATTTCACATAATAGTTCATCTGAAAATTATAATTGCAACACAAAGGTGTTTTTCTATACAATTACAAATAATCAGGACTGGAGCGTTCAAGCTTTGAAAAAGACGCAAAAGACCAATAAAAGTATCACAGGAGGAGTCTGAGAGACTCATGCCTGAAATATGTACCTTGTGAAGTCATTTGATAATGTGAAAAACAGAGTGAAATTTAAGTAGTTTGTTATGCAATGACTTATGATCTTGTAAAATCTTTTTAGACTCAGAAAGCTCTAATCTCCATTGATTGTAATTGCATGGCTAATTGCATAATTATATAGGTTAACTAAACTAAAACTAACAAAAATAAAAACATTTCTGTTATATGAAATAAATGTTAATAGAAACAATTAATTTATTTCAGATAGCTTCAGCATTTCTCTTTTTTGATAAGTTTACCTTGATTTTCGGGGTGAATAAGATATAAATAAAATACATTAAAAAAAATAAAAATAAAAAAACAAACCTATTTTATTTTAGCTAGTTGACAAGGCAACATTTTTCATTTTTATTTACTTAGAACTTGATGTACAAAAATAAACTCTAAAATGACTAGAAACTAATAATAAAACTAATAAAAACGGTATATAATTTAATATAAATACAATTATATATATATATATATATATTATAATTTAATGGACTATATATAATGGACTAGTGAAAGTGTGTAAGTGATAGTAGGACTAACCGGTCAAAAGATGTCGACTTCCAGACAAAGTCCACCTGGAAGTTATGCGGCACCTCCACAGGTGCACCAGCACTGCTGCGTAGCTCGATGGCGATTTCATCTCCATAATCAGAGAGGATCTCGGTTAAGGAATCAACCATACAATATAGCGCCCTGTAAGACACTTACATACTCGTACATCAAAACAGCACAGTAAGAACGCGCTACTGACTTTCTGCTGATATAAAGAGTGCCTACAAAACTCATGGTCACGATGCAAGTGTGTTGTCTGAGTTTTGCTCTGCAGAGGTTGCAATTATGTTGCTATGTAGTTGCTAGGGTGTTCTGGGTGGGTGGTTGCTTGTCATTAATCCTAAGTATAAGCAATGCATTCCTATGCACATTATCAAGAGAAAATAATAGCTGTCATTGTGTGACAACAGCGAGTTTGATCTTTGCTGAAAGGATACTGTCCGGGACTTTGATGACGTGTCCAATCCCTTTCCACAGTGGAGCCATGTCTCCCTTATACCGCAGACAGATCTCGTCTCCTTGCATCAGTCGCATGTCTGTTAAACATCACCCACACAGAGAAAACATAGTCAGGGAGACCACATTTTGCGGATTTATGCTCTAATAACAATAATAGAGCTATATATCCATCACATACACAAGTACAGCACCACAAACACACATGCACGCACACACACACGCGCGCGCGCACACTCATGTCCGTGCACACATCGATGAGGGATGCATGGGACACGGTGTTAGGGATGGGATGGATATGAACCACTGGTAGACACAGAAGATGCTGAAAGTAAATATTACCACCTGAATCCGTCTTGGGCAGAGTGAAATAAGCTATCCGCTTTTTATTCAGTACTAACGCAATCATCATCATATCAGTACTATTGCATCTTCACTAGTTTAACCACAGGAATAACTGAAGAGCAGAAAGGTTTTCATACTTGGGACTCTTTGAGTTTCTTGTCATAATCAGCCTCTAGTTTGACCAGCGGCCCAAAGATGTTCTGGTACTGATAGGCATCTTCGTATCGCAGCAGAACGTGCTGAGGTTCCTCATCCACTCCAGGTTTCTCCAAATCTTCCAGGGTCGCTGTTGGGTTTTCCTGCAAACATGACAGAACGTACAGTCATACAACCACA